TCTGTTGCTAAAAAAGAGAATGACCCCCCCCCCAAAAAAAAAAAGTAATAGGATTTCTGAATTTGGCTATAAGTCAGTTTCTTTTTTCGTCAATTTGGTAGGGCTTTTAGTCGCGAAACGTCCCCATCCCTCCTTTTTTTTTTGCATGTCAATACCCTGCACCCCCGATTTGTAAAGAGAGCTTAACTACTGGGGCTGAAAAAAAAAAAAAAAACAAGAAAAGTTCAATTCAATATAAGTCCATTTAATTTTTTTTCAGTTTATCGACCTCCAATAATTCTAGAACCAATCTACCGTCCGATTCACAAAAACATATCAGTACAAAAGCCCAAAATTAAAACAAGAACTTTATACATGTACAGGGCTCTGTGTGATCTCTAAAATTTATTTGCCAACTGGCTCCTAATCAAAAAAATTTAGTCGCCAATGCAAATTTTTAGTCGCCAGGTAATTTTTTTAAGCATTAATTTAAAAACAGACATTAGTCAATATATATAGAGACATATATAGAGCCCATTGCTAACTTGTAAACTTCTTTTCTGCTCTTTTTTTTAATTGAAAATGTTAATAATTCAGTAATTTGACAATCACCAAGTCAATTTAAAATGGTCGCCAATTTGGCGACTTACAAATTTTTTTTTCGGCGCCAGTCAAAATTTTAAGGCGCCATGGCGACCAAATTAGTCGCCAATTAGAGCCCCGATTTATCAGTCTTTCCCCTCTAAAGTCTTTTTCAGAAAACTGGCTCTTGAGTAGAATTTCCCCTTCAGAAATCCCACAACAGATTCAATTTTCCGGGGGAATCCCTAGGGCTGTGTATTGAGCAAAAAAATTCGATACGACACGATACGATATTTTATAATGCGATATCCGATATATTGGACTCTTTAACAAATCTATCAAAAAAGTCTTATAAATCATCTAATGCATGAATTTTATAAAAACTAATTGTTTTAAAACCCATTTCAAAAGTTTTGTCACACTATCTCTAAAAATTACACTTCAAATTCAAACTTTTAATGACTGTAAAAACAACGAGTTATAATAAAGTTTATGTATTTTGTAATATTTATCTAAGATGTGCTATCTCCTTCATGATTATATTATTATTAATCAATTTTAATTCAAAACAGTGAAAATATAACCTTTAGTGATTGAAATTCCTAACTTTTTCACAGCATTATGAGAAAATCTGCCTATCCGATACGTATTGGAAGTTATTTTTTCAATACGATACATTATTAAATATCGCTACGTATCAATATATTGATAATATTGATACAGCCCTAGAAATCCCTACTCTGTGTAACAGTTATAGAGTGCGATTCCCTCAAGAACCAATTTACCCCTTCTCCTATAAAATATCATGCCAGTACTTATATATGAGGGCAAGGGGGCGACACATGGTTACAAATGTATTACAAATTCTACAATTTTTCCACAGGTGTTCTCGCAGTAGACAATCTTAATGAAACTTCACAAAAATTGTAATTAAAAAAGTCTAGTTGTGTCAACATTTAATTTATAAAAGAAAAAAGAAAAAAAAAAAAAAAAAACGAGGAATTTTATTTTTAATTTTTTCTCTCCAGTTATATTTAATCAAACTACATGTGCATAATATTGATTAAGTGTCTCTCCAAGTTTCTGGAGTTTAAAATAGCTGTCCAGTATTACACCTCTGTGGTCGAGGGGTCATACCTATCCTACAGCTTACAAGAGCAGTGCTTCTTGTATTGTACTTTTTTTAAACTACTAAAATTTCATACTAAATTTGGACAACTCCTGAGCGAAAACACTAATATTTCTATTAAAAAGTCAGTTGACTTTCAAATAAACTTTAATAATGTCAATATGATTTAAGCATTGGTTAAACAGGGAAAAACCTACTCTGAGAAAGAAAGAGGGGAAAAATAGGCTCTAGTGTAAGATTTCCCCTCGGGGGAAGTCCCACTCCTTAGTATAGATCCGGGGGGGGGGGGGCTGATTATAGGGAAATCCTACTTTGTACATCGGTTGTCATAAAAATGACATCATCCAAATGTTTTGATTTCATAATTCCATTTTTCTCGCAGAAAGACACATTTTCTCTATCGTAGAAAAATATATTTCCTTTGCAAAATCAAGGTTGTAAATGCTATCGTAGAAAAATATATTTCTTTGCAAAATCAAGGTTGTAAATGCTCCCCATAGGATTTTCAGTTATAATTTGTTTTGCTTGTCAAAAACTTTGAGAGTCATATTTCTTTTTTAATTGGTTGGACCCCCCTTCTGAAAAATTCCTGGAACCGCGCATGAAAGGACTACCGATTTTCTGTGCTTTTCTCTTATCTTGGGTGTCAAAAACCAAGGCGCATGCGGGGCTTGATAGAAATAGAAAACTTGAAATGACCTAATGGAAAAAAATGAAGGAGAGACAGTTGAAAGAGAAAGCTACTTGATGTGTTTTCTCCTTGCAAGACAGAGAGTACAAAGTGAGAAAAAAGAAATAGAAAGAGGAATCAAGGATATGAATGGGGATATGTATGTCTGTGGCAATATCATATTTAAAATCTTACAATTTATTTATAAGATTATAAGATTTTTAGTGTACATCTGAATACTTTCAACGAAGATTCAAAAATTGAAAAGTTTGTGCCCTGTAATTTTATTTAGATTTTAAAAAATAAATAAATAAATAAAATTCACATTAAACAACTAAAATATGCAATTATAACGTTTAAAACTTTGTAACAACGTTATGACTTTAATTACGTTATTTTGACGTAACGTCAATGTGTACCAACACCGTGCGCAACGTCTCTGCAACTTCTGGAATTTTAACTAGAATGTATGTGCAATATGGTGATATAAGTCAAAAATATGTTATGGGTAGTTGCATTTAAAAAAAAAACATTTTGGTGGTCATTATTTTTAAATTCACCCATCGACAAAGTGGTATTGGGCAGCATCCCTTTAACGTCTACAGGCATTGTACAAATGATGCGCCAAATGTGTTAATCTGATATACTGACCTAGGTCTGGAAGAGTTTCAGAGATTCTCTCTCTCTCTCTCTGTATTATGTACAGCTCCATTTGGTCAGAAGGGTTAATTAATTATTCAGGCCTCTGGATCACGAAACTAACTTAAACTTATCTAACAATTTCATATAACAGCAGTTTGTTGGTGCATTAATTATATAAATAACACTTATTTTTAACGTTTTGGATTCTATATCATTTCAGCGCAATATAAAAAAAATTGTCTAAAGCTTCAGATGTTTCATACTCTAATCGTTAGATTTTGTACTAACTAATATTTTTTTATGTTTCACTTTTTAATATTTCAATCTCTTTATTTTCAGTCAGATACTGCCTAAGATTATACCTCTTAATGAAACTGAAAACTGAAAGATGTTCCGTTTTCTTCATTACTATAATGATCACCTTCGGAGCTAGCCCCAAAATAAGACACGGCTAGCTCTGGTTTCTTTGTACATTTGTACAGTAACTGCTCTTTGCGTTTGAGTTAAATGCTCAGTCTGTTTCCTACCTTCATAAGGTTATACAAAATGTAGTTATGATTCTTTTTCTCTAATATTTTTATATTGTTTAGTTTTGATTCAAAATATCAAATACCAATTGCCAAGTTGTTATCCCACCTGAAGTTATGAAATGTGCATCAGTTTACTGCATTTTTTATTTTATTTTTCGATTTAGATTGGCTTGTCTCTTCTGAATATAATTTCTGGGGCGCGCTGAGCATTTATAAAAATTAATTGAAAAATGATTATTACATAAATTATGAGAAATTAAACAAATTAATACAAGTTAAAAATGTGACATATGCTTAAGCTCACTTCTGCTCAATTCACTTTAGCTCAGAAGCTGCTCACTTTGGCTCACTACAATGCCATCTTACTCAATGTTTAGTATTCGGCTGGTTCCTGCCCTAACTTTTTTTGAGTCCTGGCCCCAGAATCATGAAAGAGATTTAGACTTAAGTCTAATTTTCAATCGCCTGTAAAATGTTGATTAATTATTGAATTAATCTCTAAATGCAGATAACAACACTTTTGTAAAGCAATATTGGAAAATGTTTTAATTTTGATGTGCTTGACTTCTACAACACTTTAATACGTAGAAAGATTTTGAATTAAGTTTAAGATGTTTCAGGTCCCGGGATCATGAAAGATCTTAAGCTTCAGTCAAAAACTTTATCTTGAACTGAAAAGTCAAATAGTCCAAAATGAAAATATTTTTTAATATCGCTCCTCCAATACGCTCCTATCTTCAAAGACAGGGACTTCATTGACTTTAAATAAACATTTTACAGATGATTGAAAATATGACTTAAGTCTATGTCTGCTTCATGATCCAGAGTCTTTTAAATTATCAAATAACTCAATGATTAACAGATTAAAGGAAAGGAAAGACGTTATTTAGTTTTGTTTATACTATGCACCTATCCTTATACACCTATCATAGACCCTGCAGTTTATGTAAATCTACCTTGATTTAAATACTGCAACTAAATTGTGGAACTTCTACCTATCTAGAAATACTTTTGAAGCAAGTGACGATAACTTAGAAAAATTTATGAATTCTGATTGGTTACAGCTGTCTTGATTTCATTGGTCATATGGAATGAATGTTTAAATCCACACCAAATTCATCTGATGATTTTATTACAATTATTTTCCATGACCATATTTAGCAATATACATGTATTACATTATAAAATGAAAAGATTTAAGGAATAACTGTCTAATGTTTTGATTTCATGATGTGATCAATCGATTGGCTTGCGTGATAATTTGCATAAACGCCGAAGGCGTTTATGCATAAAATTATCACGCAAGCCAATCGATTGATCATCGTCATGAAACCAAAATATCTGACAGTTATTCCTTATATTTACATGCTCCTGATTCTGCAAATTCATGTGCTACAAGCCTCGCTTCTGTCTCTATTTGTCCCGCCCCGCACGTGTTTTTTTTTTACCACGCCTATCGATGAACTAGTAGATTTATGTAGAAAGAAAGTATTTTTACTATTTGAAATTTTATCTCGGACAAAGACATTGGAAATGTAAATATTGAAAAAAAACGCAGTAGATTAAGTACAAGGGCCGTTCAAAATAATACGCGGACTCTGCTATTATTTACTCTAACAGACGCCAAATATAGTAATGAAATTTCGTAGAAACATAATTCTTGCAGAATCACTAAATTGTTGATGATATTTTTTCGTATCTTAATTGATTTCTCCTCAAACTATTGCTGTTTTGATATTGTTGATGTACGGAGCACGACAAAAAAATTGAAAAAAGAATGACATTGTGCAGAATCCAAAATTTTACTCATTTATTTTCAATTTGACGTATGTTTGATTAAGTAATACAACGAATTTTTGAACGTCCCTCATATAATTCAATGGTCTGACAAGTTGAATCTGATATTTTGATTTTGCAGCATGTATGATGCAATGTTCTGACAAGTGTTTCCTAGTACTTTTACCCTCCTGCTGTGAAGAGTTCCAGTCTGTGTATACAGAATGCGAAAGCCTGTGGTACTGTTTGCAGGATTTATGAATAGTTTTTTGGGAACAAGCCTTGGATATTCCGCAGGTATTATTCACCTTGGATTACTAGAGAAATACAAAGAATTTCCGAAAGAAGTATCTTGGGCAGGAGCTCTGTTTACCAGTTTTTTCAGTTTAGCTGGTAAGAAAAACTTTAATTTGCTTTGATAATTTTTATCAATCAAACTAATTCATCATAAAAGTGAAATATTGTATAATGGAAATATATATTTTTCTGCATATCCCCATGTAATTTTAGAATCATTAATTAAAGAAAATAATTTTAAGCTTCATTCATTAAAGAAATGTAGTCTCTTCTCATCCCAAAATTTGTTAACCATCCACATCGTCTAAAAATAAAAAGCCAAACTACTACTCATAATTGTTAATCGTCGTGAGGTAATATCCAATCTGTTCAATTCAAACTTGTAAAGTTATAGAGGTTTTAGAAAAAATATTCTACAAGCTACCCCCCTTTGAATTTTGGTCCACTTTCAAGGAAACTTCGAAAACAAGTTAATAGCGATTCTCTGTAACCACTTAAACTTCTTTGCCACGCATGGTCACCGATTTTGATGAAATTTTGCCCATTATTACAACTTGACACCAGAAACATATATCAAACAAAATTTTGTTGCTATGTATCTTGGTTGCCATGGTAACAGCTAGAAAAGTTGAAAACATGACACCTTGTCGCCACTTATGCTATAAAGAAACTATTTAGAATTTATCTCTAAGTAAGTGGTAACCATAGGTACATTTGGAATACATTTTAGATGCTGAAAAATGCTGAAAAACGCTCAATATTCACAAATGATAGATGTTACATAATCAAACTCAATCAACAACTTAAGAAAAACAATAAAAAATATTTGACCTTAAGTAATCAGGTATTGGCAATATTATTCTAAAAATAACTTTCATGGTTGCCATGGTAACACAGTGTTACCATGCAAAATCTGTTGCTATGATTGGATTAATGCTACTATCTTGAGGAAAAACAATAAAATTCATGACTGGCACATATACATCCTTAGGACCTTGCAACACCGACAACATAAGAAAAATTGGGATTAATTGTTTTTCTGCAGTGTAACCATGGAAACAACAAACTAGTTGTTAAAGTGATATATTTTTTGCTGCTTTAGGAATTTACTTACCTTTTAATCAAGAAACATATTATTTGACTAACCTTGAATAGTACTTATCTGGTAGAACTAAAGTTGAATATCATATATTGATAAAGTTTGTTGAAAAATACAACACTGTTGCTATGGTTACCAAGAAGTGAAAATGTTCGATTTTGTTAATTTTATATTAATATTAAACCCTATGTGCCAGCTTTTTGCATCCAGTTAGAAATTGGGTGGTAGTCAAAATTGAAAGTCAGGTTAGTTGTTCATAAATATCAATCATAAAAGTTTTGGGAATCTACATACAAGGGTACGTATCCAAGGAAACATAATATTTTTCACATTTTTAATCGTATTTTTTCGGCTTATTTCCATAGCAACGCTCTATTTAAAGAATTAAATTTGAAATTTTTGAATTATGAAAATGATTGTCACACCAACGCCTTTAAAAATTGATTATCAGTTATATAGAAATATGTTTTTTAAAAAGATAGGATAAGATTGAAAAACTAAGAGAACAAATTTAAAATCCCTTCGTGGTATTAGAACCATGGCAACCATTGCCAACCCATAAGAAATATCATATTTTGTCCTTGGCATATGTTTCAAGGATCTTTTGTCTTTTATTTGCTTGCTTTTCAACCCATAATTGTTTTTATTCTTAAGTTTATGACTTTTTAAATTTAAATGAACACAATTATTACTTTTGAATACTTTGTTTCCATAGTAACGTATATAATAGTTTGTTTACCAAACATGTTTATCAAATATTTAAGACATCAGACCTTCAACTTTCAGAAACAGTCATTACCACTTGTTTGCTTTGCCGCAAAGGTTAATTGTGGGACTCTGAACATGTTGAAAAATGCCAGTTTTCAAACTTTAGGACGTGTTGCTATGGAAACCATGTCACGTAGAAACCAATTTTTGCCTGATTTGAGTGTACGGTATCAAAGACTTTTATCATAGAGAGTTTGGAGAAATTCTGAGACTATGCGTGCCACAGCTTCTATATAAAAGTTCAAGTCGTTACAGAGAATGGCTCTTAACTACCATAAGAAATATAAATCCTTAAACCAACTTTTTTTTATTTCAACAAAAGTTATGTATCCTAATATGTAGTCTACTTGAAATATTACCATGTAATATAGTAAGCACAAAGAAGTTCACTTTTTAATAAGGGCCGAGCGGTCTAGCGCGCTGTTCCTGTACTGGTAGGAGACAGATTCCATAGGTCGAGAGTTCAATCCCGGGCTGGGGCGGAAGTGGGTATCCTTATAAAAGTGAATTTCTTTGTGCATTCTATATTAATATTTCTTCACTTAGAGCAGTTTTAGTTTAAGAGTTATGTTAGTTTAAGAGTAACTGTTGTAAAATGTGCTTTATATATGACTTCGAAGAATGATGAGACTCCAAAATCCGATGGTCTACGCCAAACCCCGTTAGATCGACACGCCAAGGTTCAATATTCATGGAATAAATATTGAAAATGATGTATCTTTCATTTCTGTGCTCACATTCCCAAAATGTGGTTTATTAAGCTTTATAACAAAACAATTTTAGTTTCTTCAGAGAATGTAACTCGGGCCCAATCACGATTTACAGTCCATTGTAAATGAGATCTGCAAAATATTCTGGCTTCAGTCTATTCTGTTTGGAAATGGTGGTGGTCTTCTTCTCTGTTCTCCTGTGATACCCATTTTCATGTCATCCCCTTTGAACTGTGCGTTTGGATAGCTTTTGTGGTGTATTTTCTTCTGTCTTCTGTCTGATCTTTCACTACTCTGCCTTTTTCTGCCACATTTTGACTTTCTTGCACTTCCTTTTGATAAACTGATATTTTCCTGGTTTTCATTCCTTTTCAAAAAATCACATTCTGTAAATCTATTCATTCCCAATATTTCCCTTATTTTTCCACCACTGTTACCTTCACTTTTGAGTTTTAGGATCAACTTTTTTTGTTCATCTGTCAAATCCTTTCCCCTGGCACCCATTGCTTGTATTCTGCAGACAACAACTATATTTGTGAACAAAGACTTAAAGGCTGAGATTTTAAGCACCGCCTTCAAAAATACCTTGTCTGTGTACCCCTGTCAATCAAGTGCATTAAGGTACATCATTGGGTGCTAGAAGTTGATTGACATTTACTTACTAGTCCCTGTGTATACCATGTACACCTTGTCTGGCACTCGTGGTGACCTTCAAATTAACTTTTGATCCTTTGATATTTACCACACATGGTATAATCAATAGAGAATCTCTATTACTATGGAATTTTTAGCTTGATAATATGTATACATACAGACATTTAGTATTTGAAATAATTATGACATTATTTATGATAATATGTCTATTAAAATTTGGTATAATTTTTTTTTTTAAAGTTCAACAAATACTTTGAATATTGTCGCCCGCGTGGCGCAGTGGTTAGGGCGTCTGCTCTAGAGTCGTGGAGTAAGGAATTGATCCTTACGTCGCGGGTTCGAATCCCACTGTGGGACGTGGAGACCGGTCCTTCGGATGTGACCGTATAAACTGAGGTCCCGTGTCGCAGTAGGTGCTGGCACGAAAAAGATCCCTCACTGCTCAATGGCCGTAAGTGCCGAGTATAGGACAAAATTTGCAGCCCTCCACCGGCAAGTGGTGGCGTCTCCATATGAGTGAAAAATTCTCGAGAGGGACGTTAAACAACATACAAACAAACAAACAATACTTTGAATGATATTTTTTTTTTTTGAATGGGTGAGGACACTTTGACACACATTCAATTACAAAATTAAAAAAAAAATATTTGGATTAAACTTTATTTACAACTTTTTATTTCCAATTTCAAATCATCTCAAAATCCCAACACAGGTAAAGTTTGACTTCTTGGGTACTCTACTTTGTATTAAATCACATCCTGTGGATAGGGATTAGGAGACAAACAACCACAGGTAGACTGCTAGCCCGCAAGGCATTCACACCTGTACAAAATAAGCCCCTCCCTCACCTGGAATTTACCACCCGGTAAAAAATCTCTGCCTTTAACTTCCTTTTGATCAGGCAGTAGGTGACAATTGAATTAATATGCTTGGGTAAAAAAGTTCAGGGTCAATGCATCTTCACATTAGTAAAACATGGAAATGAAAATGTATGTTTGTGATACATGACACGAGAGTCAGCCATGTTGTGACTTTTAATTTGGTACATGAGTGTAGGTACTATTGTGTCATACATGCAGTTAGGGTGGCCTTTTTCACGTTATAATCCTCGTTTTATACGGCAGAGAAAAAAATAATTGACAGAATGCACTTTGAAGTCTTTCACAGTAATGTATAGAATGCCAAGCATAATTCTTTTTGGTAATAAAGTTCTGTACATTTATTCCTATCCATTTCAAAATGGTGCTCATTTACTACCGTTTAACTCTGTGTCACAAATTCATAAATACTTCATTGAGGATACCCAACGCGTTAGTGCAAAAAATATAAGTTTAAGAGTTTACTCACCATTTTGTCTTTGATCTACGTCTTATGCCAAAAGTTTTACACCAAATCTCATGTTACTCGGTTAAGTTTACTAACATATACTTAGCAACTAGTATAGCAACAGATTCATTTTTCAATTTTAGGTCCATTATCCAGCACCGTAATAAATGGTTTGTCTTGTCGGTCCACAATTTTCCTTGGATCTTTTCTTAGCTTCGCTGGTTTCTTCATTCCAAGCTTTGTGTCAGATATAAGGCTTGTGATTATTTGTTACGGAATTATTGCAGGTACTTTATTTAGGTCATGCAACATTTGAAATAAGATTTACATGTCAATTACAAGAAAACGACAGTATAGTAAAGCATGTTGTAATTCTACCAGTGAAAATAATTTAAAATGAGTTGAATTCTTAAGACGGCAAATGTTTAAATTTAGACACTGATTTAACAGCTTAATCATTCATTACAGGAATTGGACAGTCTATGATGTTTTCGGGCACTGTCGTAGTCACAGGATACTATTTCATTGACAATCCCAGTTTGGCCACAGGTATAATAGCGACAGGAGCAGGTATTGGGGTGACGGTGTATCCTCTTTTCACAGAATTCCTTATCCAGACATATGGAATCAATGGTACCTTTCTTCTCTTGTCGGCTGTGAACCTACAGACTTGTGTATTTACTATGTGTATCAAAACTACGGAACTTGAAAAGAAAAGAAAAGGAGAAAGATCCGAGACTATTTCTGAACAATTAAAATGGATTTTACAGGAATTCAAAAGAATTATTTCCAACAGTGCATTTTGTTGCTTTTGTGTGAGTATTTTATGCTGGAGCATAAGCATCAATACCTCTGTTTTATATTTACCTGAATACTATGTCAGCACAGGTTCAACTCAAGCACAAGCTGCCACTTTTATGTCTATATATGGTATCACCGGTTGTTTATCTCGAATTCTAACTGGATTAGCAGCAACAGACTTTAATGTTGACGGGAAAATCTTGTACATGGGGTGTTTTTTAATACTAGGACTGTCTACAATATTTCTACCACTGATCGGAACTTCGTTCCCCGGTAAAGTATTCTATTCTGTCATGCTTGGTTTATATTCCAGTGGTGTGTGGTCCCTTTTATCACCTATAACCATTGAAATAATTGGTATCAAACAGATGTCAACAGCTTTTGGAATGGAAATGCTCACGTGTGGTATAGGATTTCTAATTGGTCCAGTTATCGGAGGTAACAAAATTTAGTTTTACAGATGAACATTTATTCAGAAATTAATATTTTATCCAATCATTTTCTTAAATATCAGAAGAGTATTTCAAGCAAGAAGGTTCCTGTTGTAAATCGTAACTCTAATGTTATTCCACTGTAGATGGAGTTAAGAGAGGAAAAGGGGGCTATTCAATTCTTTTTATTATTTCAGGTAAGTAACTAGTTATTAAACTTTTTTTTTTGATTAAACAGTCAAAATCTTGTTCTTAGCAACTTCTTTTTAAAGACTAATTCCTTCTTACAGGGATCCTATATATTATGGCAGCAGTATTTGAAATGTTAATGATACCTAGGATGAATAGGCCTGCATTCTACCACGCAAGACAGGATGAAACAAAATTTATTGAAATGGAGGAAAAAATAAAAAGGAATAAATTAATTGAGAACCCCAGTAAAAAAGAATCACTCTGGGGAAGTTTTGATGATATTGAACCACAAGAACAGCTTCATTTAAACGATGGTATTAATTGTTGATATGTCTTTCGTTTGTTTCTAAATAAAGGATGTTTTTGACCAAGGGACATGTATAAAGTTTCTTCATGAAAAATAATATAGACTAAAATGGTAAATGTATATTTTTCACTTCTTTAATTTGTTAAATGTACTGGAAATGATTTAATAACCTTAATATTTTATAGTTGCATGGTTCCTAAATAGTTTTAGTATTTACAACTTATTATTGAGGTTTAAAAGATAAATGAAAGGTGAGTTAGCGACAGACTTTCATTCATCATTAAGCGAATTGCAAAATCTCTAAAAAAAATTATTGCTGTGCACTTAAGTTGTTCTTACTCCAACCTTACAAACTGATTGCTACCATTTCCCCTTTACCACCTCTACGGCCTCCAAGACTCAACTACGGCAAAAACACAGAAGTGATTCAAAACAACTTGCAGCCGGTCGTGACTACGTAATGGATAAATAACGAGATGGTGTTGAGTAGTTTAGAGAAAACATTCCCTCCGAGGGCCGAAGGCCCGAGGAGGGGATGTTTTCTCTAAACTATTCAACACTATCGAGTTAATTATCTTACTTAAAACACTTCCCTACTTTGGACCCCAAAGAAACATTTACCCATTCATATATCCAACTTTGCTGTAATACAATGGGATCTAGTCCATTCAGATATATCCAACAGTGACACAATACAATAGCCTAATCGAACACCCCTTTTATTCATGAACTAGTGAGCATGAAACCGCACGGTGCTAATGTCATTTCAAACCTTTCCATTGTTCTGAACAGTCATGGAATCAGATGAAGAATAGTTTTAAATCCAATGTAAATTTAGAGAGGTTCAGATAGTGTTTTGAATACTTTTGTCCTGAAAGCAGAAGAAAACTACAAAATTTTGATAAAAGGTTGGAAATCTATCATTACATGTAAGATGATGATTTGTTGGGGAAAAGTGTTACGGAGTCTTACAAAAAGTCTTACGGAGCTCCATTCGGACAATACTTCTATAGTCTGTCCCACGACCGGAACGTCACTACTTTTTGCAAGATATCTAAAAATATATAAATACCTTGGCTTTCAACCTAGGTTCGATCGGTAGATTGATTTTTTTCCAAACTTCCTGCATTTATACGAACCCTCGAGGTCAACCAGTGTATTGACACGGCGGCAAATTCAAAGTCTACGGGGATTTAACATTGTCAAAATGGCAGCCACTTCGGAAGGGGATCCATCATTATTCGTAATTTTCCGTACATTGCCGTCAGTGAGGTAATGACGTCACGCAAGTTCGGGAATGCTCTGAGCTTATCAACGTCTAAAAAGCTATAAAGCCCGAAACTTGCCAAGTATATATTTAGGCCTATATATAGGAGAAATTACGTCTTTGACAAAACTTTCATACCCAGGGCCAGACAGAAGGGATCAGAGATTTTTAAAAACAGCTAGCCTATACACTGCGTAAAGAAAAGAGGTATGACTCAATTCATATAGCCTAAGATTGTAATTATCATGTTAAAAACAATCGAGGCAACTGCAAATTTAGCTCAAGTGACATGACTGCTTTTATTGCCAAAACGTAGAGATCTAACTTCTAATAAACGTAGTCATATTATTAAGATTATCAAAATTAATTGCTGCTTTACCTTACTCCTTAGCCTTCCACATAAATCCAATTTCCTATAGTTTGTTATAAACACGGTCAAAAGAGGCATCGTATCACTTCTATGTGAACAATTGATGTCCGTAACTGCACTGTATATCCTGTTTTTGTTAGACTTTCAACACTTTAAACACATAAATCCACAATCAATGTTTTATTTTGAATCTCGGTGCAAAACAACTATTGTTGTCTGCATCAAACTACGTCACCAATGGAATTTGACCTTGCCCTTCGAAAACTTCCTGTAATATCGGCATTAGGTAAATCCAGGCCCTTGGATATATTTTTAGTGTTTCCATAAATATAACAGAATGCCAAAAATTAAATACTCAATCCTACACACAAAAACTACATAACACAAGTGTAAAAGATTATACTACTTTTTATTTTAATTTTATCTTTTCTTTTTTTATCACCTTATTTTTTTTATTTTGGTAGAAAGTTCAATAGTTTTACATAAAAAAAAAAGAAAAGATTATACATGTATATATATTGACACTTTCTATACATGTCAGAGCCAGCTGCTAGTTTGATTCTCATATAATAAAACAAATATTTATTCATAAAAACAATAGATAAAATTTTTGAAACAAGAATTTAATTGCAAGGTTGCAGGATCATGAAACAGACTTTGACTTAAGTCATATTTTCAATTGCCAGTAAAATGTTTATCATTTATTGAGTTAATCTCTAATTTTGCAAATAACAACACTTTTGTAAAACAATATTGTAAAATAGTTTTATTTTGGCCTGCTTGACTTCTACAACATTTTAGTACAACATAAAGATTTTGACTTAAGCTTAAGATGTTTCATGATCCTGGGGCCAGGATACCAAAATAGCTACCCGGTGAAGACACAACATACTTTGAAAATGGTCATTTTTACCCTATAATTCAAGAAGTCTCTCAAGAAATGCAGGCAATTCAAGAAAAAAATCACCTAAAATTTTTAAAAACACCATATTGAATATAGACAAGCACAAACAAACAAGTACATAAAATAAATTCAGCCATAAGTAGCTGCAGATACATCCTAAGTAATTTTTGCTATATGGACTGTAGATACATGAGCAGTCTGGGCAGCTTAGTTGTTAGAATACCTCATTAGTATAAAAGTATTTGCAATGCAGAGGTCCTGGGTTTGATTCCCAGTCAAGCAAAATGTTTTTCCTCATGTATTTGTAAATTTTCAAAGTATGTTTATTCATTATTCCATTCCCTGGTACATATGGCTTCCTGATATACATTTTTTCTAAACTGCATAATACTATGGAATCATTTTAATTTGTGGAGGTCAGTGTTTGTGGGCAGGCATATAGTTTTGCTGTTTTGTGGACAGGACATAAATAAGGTTAACCAAAATACAATCAAAGGAATTAATGGATTGATTAAAATGTTAAAATAAGCATTTGTGGAAATATAAATTTATGGGTATAGCTGATCCATGTGATAAAATCCAAGAATGTTGGTCTCCCACAAACAATGATGATTCCACAGTAGATGTCAATCAGTTTTTGTAAGCTACCTGTCTGAAATGGGCAAAGTAATTAATCATACTCAGATAACTGTTTTCAAAATTTTATTACTGTTTGTTTAACAGCTAGATACAGGTATATGTTTTTTTTAAAATTATCAAATAGAATTGCTTCAAACTTTAAACACATTTAGTGAGATTACAGGAAATACTGCAAACGATTAATGAATTGTCTTTCCTTTATTTAAAGATATCAGATCAAATTTAGAAGAATAAATGATTATGAAAATTGAGTGCCCAATGCTGCTGGTGTCCATGCTTTTGAAAAAAGAAGTCATGACTCAGAATCCATAGTGAGAAACAAGTCATGAATGAAGATTGAGAAAGAGTGTTTATGTTTGTCTCCACTAAAACTTCTGTAGTAAATGGTTGGTGTCTGGCTCATCCAATGATCAACCCATTGGCAGACTACCAGGTAATCTTTTGTTCAGCCAATACTTTGAGCCTGAAAAAAAAGATGATGATGAAACACATTTTAATCCATCATAAAGATTCTGGCGCATGAAAATACTTTCAAGTCTGTGCAAAGTGAAATTTAAAGGAATAATGAAAATTCCAATGATTATACTTGAACTTGCATTACATGTTAACATGAATTGATACACATTAAAAATGCATGTATAGTCAATTTTTCAATTTCAGGTTCCAACCTAAGAATACATGGGAAGAGTAAAACCTTTTTCATTTATATAAATACTTACTAGCTGTAGTCTAGAAGAATGTCCTGAAACCTGAATGTTTAGTCCACCATCAAATGAATTTCAATCACATTATTCTGAAAAATTGAGTAGATAGTCTTCTACATGCATGCATGTCTTAAAGTCACACTGTCTGGTCATCATAACTTTGCACTCCAATTAATTATATCTTCAAAAATGTTATTTAGTAATTAATAAAGGCATCATCAAATATTTTTGCTTTGGTTATTATTACATTTCTTTGATCAATGACTTGTCTTTTAAATAGTTAGGACTGCAATAGGAAGATAAAACTAAAAAAAAAATGACACAGCTTAAAATGTTATGTATCATGATATACAAAAATATATAAGGTTTTTGTACCAGGATATATTACTTTTTTTGTGTGTACATGTATTGTGTAAGTTACATAGTATTATGTTTCTTGAAATTAATTTTTTTTTTAACTTTGAACAAAGAAAAATGACATGTAAATTTTATAGTCAAAATCTCATGATTGAAGGAGAAAAATGAAAGCACTGAGTTTGCTGAGGGACAAAAAAAAAAAAAAAAAAAATACACGAGAGATTAGAAAAAGATTGTAAAATGTGGACATGAAGTGTGCTAAGCTTAAAAGTTTCATTTTGATTGTTCAATATTTAAAAGACAGGATAATTTGAAGATATTAGACAATAATTTAATTTTGGTTGTAACGCTGTATTTGATTGGATAAAAAATTTACTTTATTTCGTATAAAATGGGTTGCCTACATCACAATGATTTGCGTCAAAAACATATCAATCCGCCTGATGTTACATTCAAATTTCGTACAAATAGAAGTCATTTTTTAAGGGCAATCATCTTTTTTTTCTTACACCAAATGAATGAAAATTAAATTATAAGGAATGAATTTAATAGCTACCCAATTTATACGGTATAAACTGGGTTGGGACAGTTTACGCTTTTTTATAAACTGCTTAGCGGTTTATAAAGCGTAAACTGCCCAAACCCAGTTTATACCGTATAAAATGGGTAGCTATTAAATTCATTCCTTAATTATAATAGTCTGACTGGTTTATTATGTAAATCATTTTTGCTTTATAGCCATGATTTCTGATCTGCTACCCTCATTGCTAAATCAAGCTACATAGCTGAATCAAGAGAATGTGCCATACCTGTAAATACAGGGCATCTATTTCATCAAATTTGAAAATGTTCTGAATTTAGAAGTGAAAAATTTTGTTGAATAAAAAAATATTTACATAAC